CCTCTCCAGAAACAAGCACCTCAGCCACAACAGTGTGTTGAACCTGTGCAACACCCCCAGCCAACTCCTTCAGTGGCTTCTTCACCTATTCCCCATCTTAGGCCTCCACAGGCCTCCTTTCTTCCAAAACAGTTTGTGCGTGTCATCAAGCCAGCAGACCAGGAGTGGATTGCTCAGTCCCTTTACCATCCTACCGGACAGCTTAAGCAACAATTCTCCCAAAACTGGTTTTATCCACCCAGTCTACCAAAGATAATTACTGCACCTCCAGATCCAACAACCTACTTCAGGCAGAGGATGTTTTTATGGGCACCGATGCGGATGTGGGGAATTTCTTTAAAGTGTCATCAGTGCAAAACCAAAATGCATCACTCTGGAATATACACAAAGATCAGAGAAGTTATCGACCTGGACTCAAGGTATTATTTGATTGGGGGAGACTATCCCCGGTGCAGTAAATGCATGATACCCGTTTGTCCATGGAGCACTGAGGTGCTAAATCAGTTAGATCCTGCCCATAGAAACAAGTTTCCAGCCATTCTCACCACACAATTGGCTCTTGACAAAAGGTGTGTGACTCTGCTGAAGCCACGGACTGTCGGAAACAGCTCCAGTTATATACAACAAGCACTAGAAGAGCTGCACAGTGAGGAGTGGGCAAAACGCACCATCGAATATCTCTCTGACTGTGAGCTTCACAAGAAGAAGAGCGCCCTAACTCAGAGCCAAGAAGTGGTCTACCAGAATCCACCAGAGTTTATTCCCCTTCCTCTTGCACAGTGGTTTGAGACTGTGCATGCAAATGAAATACTCTGCCACTTGTCCGAGATGAAGGGTGTCATAACCTCGACATATGGAAGGATTCTAAAGCTCGACTCCACCAAAAAGGTATAGTAAAACACCTCTAAAAAATTTCTCAATTCTGATTAGAATTTGCACTCCAAATTCTAATCAGATTATAATGGTCTATTTTTCTTTCTTTTTTTTTTTTTACCAAACAGATCACCAAGAAACTAGCTGGTGGAATTTCTGAGACCGCAACCTGGATGACCAACATCACCAATGAGTATGGGCAGGTCCTGAACTGTGTGCTGACCACAGGTGAAGGAGCAGGGTTGGAGGAACTGTGCCAGGGGATTGTGAAGCGCTTCCAGAATGCTAGGGAACCAGAGCCACATATCCTCTATGTCGACAGAGACTGCTGTAGTGAATCAGGTTTGTGATTTTCAGACTTTGTTGTAATTCATTATAACATTTGTTTAAAGTCCAGTTTAAAATATTTCATGATCACTTTAATTATTGAAAACCCAATGTAAAAGAAATGTATTTTGAACAAGAGATTTTGATCTGTGTAGCAGTTATGTTTCATGTGGCAACATTAATACCATCAGCTGTGAGTCATCAGATAAATGCTGTAGAATTTATTAATTTGTGTTTTATTTATATATTTATTTTTGCTTAAACAGGTGTGCCTCCGGTGCTCGAGTGGTTTCGACCATGGAACACTAAAGTGAGGCTTGACATCTTTCACTACATGAGACGATTCACAACCGGTCTCACCACAGAACATCATCCTCTTTATGGAACTTTCTGCTCCAAGTTGTCCTGCTGCATTTTTGAATGGGATCAAGATGATGTCAACTGCCTTAAAGAAGCAAAGAGGTCAGAGCTCAAGAAAAAATATGCTGGTCATCCTCCCACAGACGCCCAAGTTTTGGCCAACATTAGCTCCAGTGAGCTTGCAAAACATTGCAGAAGAAGGACAAGAGGGGTAGAAGAAACCCGGAACCTCATCCAGGAATTATTAGACTCCATGTGGGAACTGACTGACACCTCAGGTCTCCGCCTGATCAACCCTGAGAGCATGTCTCATGTGTGTCAAGTGCAGCAGAAGCATCTGCCATGCATCCAAGATCCACCTGGTGTTGAACTGTACACCAAGCTTCG